AATTATTATCAGTTGTAAGCTGTTAAGTTATAAACATTTTGATTAAAAAAAGAATAAGTGTATTCAGCCCATAAAAATATTTATATTAAAATAAATGTTATCTGTTTATTAACTTTGAATGAGGCATAAGTTATTATACAATGATAAAATATAAACTTCTAACGTTTAAATTCAATTGATTTAATAATAAAAAAAAATGTATTACAACAAAAAAAGATTTCTACTAAATTTGACGATTTAAAAAGTAATTCAATACCACATAGTTAAAAAAACTTACAGTCACTAAATAAAACTGAATTTTCGACTATTTTTTATTTTTTGGAAGTTCCAAAATGATGCTAACAAATTTACACACAGCTATTGGCCTTTTCCATTGTTGGTGATTATGACTACACGTGTTCCCGTAAGCAATAGTGAATATTTATTTATTTTAAACATACACACTTTTAACTTTATGTAACATTTGCCTGTGAGTTTGTCAGAATAATATTGATATTTCACGTCTTGCCCATCGCGATTTGCCTGGCGTTTCAAAATGTCACTATACCGATCATTGCTGACTGCACCAAAAAACAACTCTCAAAGAATTTCAAACCGAACTTTCGGCAAAGTATAGGACATTCGGATCTTTTTCTAATTCTTCATTTATTCCTTTTTGGTTTTCCCTGGCCAAAACAGCATCATTACTTTTAAGATCATATTTGGTTAATTAATTGTCATTTTCTACCACAGTCATGTTCAACAGCGAAGTTACCGTTTAATAAAATAAATAAATTCGTGGTAAAAATTTAATTATCTTATTATAGTCTAAATGTACATAGATTTAATGTTATCATATGCTGTAAGAATTTACACATCAACAAAAGTTCCTAGATTCATCGAATATTTATTGTTATACAAACTTACTAAAATCATTTTTTCGTTTAAATATCCAATTTCGTAAAAACTTGAACATAAAATCTTACATAAAAAATAAAATAAAATAAATATAGGTGGTCATTATTTTTAATTGTTATATAAACAAAATATGATAACCTTATTATATTGCATTATCAAGCGTTTTTCTCAAAAACAAAATATTGAATTATATAAGTTTAAACTAAGGCCAAAATTTTAAATATTTATAAAAAAGATCAATCGCATTGTTCAGAATGTATTACTATAAAATATTTTAATAAAGTGAATCAGTGAATGCATAAGACTTTATGCAAATTACCTCAAGTCTTATTGAAGTTCGTTTATGATTTGTGTGTAAATCGTTATTTCATATTTAATAGGTAACTGTGGATCCTTGTTTTAGTTGTTTTCCACTAAAATAAATTTAAAGTTTTTAAATTGTAACATTATATATTAAATAGTATGATATGGAAAAAAAAAATTGATTGGTATGAGCATCAAAACTAAACTGACAACGAAAATTATAATTACAGTCTTATACCAACCTATAATAAACAATACGGCAAATATCTCCTGGACAACACACAGAATGCAATTTGAGTTTTGTAGCCAGTTTATGATCGAGTTTTTTTTCTTCAAAACATGTAAATATTACGTAATATTATGTACATTTTTAATTAGTTTTTGGATTAATGTTTTAATTACCTTGCGCTATATTATGGTGAACACTTGTGATAAAATAAATATTAATAGTTTTAAATCTATCTTTATACTACAAACACTGCTTCTCTTTGTGATTTTTTGTTGGTGATTCTTCCATTATATTATCATATTTTAAAGATGAATTTCTCAGATGATTTTAAATACATACATAATTAAAAGCTTTAAACTATAACATAGATACATGAAATCATCTACCTGCGTAATTATGTTTAACATATTTTTATTATTCATCACACATCAATTACCTATTAATGATAGGTACTAGAGTATTAAGAGAAATGCTGTAGTGTTACTTAAAGACATTTATTACTATCATTATTATGGATCTTATACTTATAATAATATAATTGAGTCAATATTATAAAAATAACATCTTTTTATTGTTTAAGTCATTATTTTTGTTAAATACATGTATGTATTTAAATTTATGTATACTATACTGTCTATACTACCTAACGGATTACCCGTCGAGGTTTTAATAGACACATAATAAAAAATAATAATAATTTATGATGAAGATTTTATCATAAAACTTCTCGATAAACTACATTTAATTTACTTACTTCCATTTAGTGCCAAAATTACTTAACTAGTAGACACTAGACGTACAGACTCTGCAGCGTGTCACATAAAATTATCCATGTTAAAAAGAGCCTAAAATGTGAGCAGAGGCTCATGGCTAATAAATGCGTATTCGTCGATGTATATAGGTATACAATTTACTCGTAAAAATTTGATTTTTGCCAATTTCATCCTTTTAAAATCAAGAATTTGAAGAATCTGTCTTTAGTGTACGTTGAAATTATATTATTAATTTACTTTCAAAATTTCAAATCTATAGCTCTAGTATAGGTTCGGCTCTGCATAATGCAATGATTATGAATCACTCACTCAGGACAGTCTTGTATAAATTTACAGATTTATTATAATTAACAAATGATATATACAATACAAAATATCAATTATTTTTTTACTTCATTATTATACACATAAGTAATGTCTAGAAATACAATAATCATTCAATAAATTAAAACAATTTCTTTCTTTTAGTATTTTTTTTTGCTAGTGATTTTTTCCTCTGATCATTTAATGACTTTGAACGAAATGACACACACTAAAAACATAAATAATATACAAATCATTCAATTTTTATACCTTAATAACCAAATATAATAATTTACAATTTTAAATAATGTAAGTATGATAATACCAAAATGAATTACCAGATAAATGTATATATTCTAACATATATTCATGACTAAATTAATGAAATCAAAGTTTTCATAGAAAATGGAATAAGGAATAATTGTATTAGTTATTACTTATTATAGTCTGCACCACAAAAATTGGTGTCAGGCTCCAAACGGATTATTTTTCTGCAGGGGTTAGCAAATAATGATACAATTTTCTGCACTTTTTCAAATATGTACAACTATATATTATATTATAAATATATTTGTTGATGGGCAATAACACCTCCTCAAATCGCAAAAAAGTAAACAATTTTCAGGAAAGACTAAAATGTGAACACTGTAACACATAATTGATTATAGGATTTTTAATTAATATTTTGGTAGTTACATTAAATAAAAACCACGTTAAGTGAGATTTGGGTACAGCAAAGGGCAGTCACCAATTTTTATGGCAAATAGTATAATAAAAAGTTAAATAAATTTATATTTTAATAGAATAAAAATAATTTTATGTATGAAGTCAATATATTATATTTATATATATAATTAATATTTAAACTATAATAATTATACATTTTAATAAATATTTTACTTTATCGTCCAAAAACGTCATGAGTTTTTGCATACTAATGTTTACATTGTACTGTTTTAGGTCTTCTTTCAACTCTTCAATCCAAATTGGTTCATAACATAAAATCTTTTTATGAAGCTCTTCATTGACTCTAAGCAAATCTTTAAAACCCATATCCACTGAAGCTGAAATAACAAAATTCATTTTAATTTAAAATTGTATAAATATATATATTCTTACTATATTTTCTTAGGTACATATTTAATTTAAACCGACATTTTAAAATAAATTACATTTGTTCTATTTGGGTAATAGTTCTCCCAAACTATCGTGACTGTTTATAATAAATAATAACTACAATTGTGAAAAAAGTGGCTTACATCAAAACACAACTCTAGTTTTAAATACACATATTATAGTGTAGCAGTCGAAAAAAAAAATTGTTTTTATTTTAAATTTGGTAAATGAATAACATTGAGTTCTATATAACTGGATAGCCTTCCTCCTGATACCATTAATATTAATTCTATTTATTTTATCATCATATTTTCTTATTATGTTAAATAAGCATAATTTTCTTAAAAAAAAAAATTAAAATGATAAATATTACTGCAGTAAAACATTAGATACTTCTTTGCACTGGACTAGTTATCTTATATTTCACAAACCATTGAAAAACAATAATATTATAGTAATCAATTAAAATATTATGAGCTGGAATTTTTTGCTTCAATTTTATAACTGATGATTCATTTGTTTTGCAAGTTTTTACTTTCTACGAGCTCAGTAATTTTTTTATTACAATAGCAGCATCAGAATCTAATTTTAAAACAACATTTTTAATCTTTTTAAAGTTATTCAAATAATATAAGACAGCTGATAGCTATCGAGTTATAATAGGCTCGAGAGGTAGAGTTAAAAATTTTTTTTTTTATTTAAAATCTATTTCTACAATAATAAGTAAATATGATAACAAAATTGGTTAGAATAACATTTAAATATTTGGATAAGAAGACCCTCAGCAGTTCCACCTGACAAGAAAATAAAAATTTTAAATGTTTGTACAAGACTCATTTTTAAAAATATTTTTTTAATGTTGGAAATTAATGAATCAACCTCAGGAAATTTAAATCTAATTGTTTCTGCTATACGATGGAAACCATCAAGTTAAATGTATCATTCTTAGATAAATTGTGTCCAACACTTTTCACGCCTTGTGATGTAGTGTCCATCAAAAGTAAAAGTACATTATTGTGTATTATTATATTCTGTGATTATACCATTCAACCACAAAACATCCACTGTATTACTAAATAATTTACATATAGTTTTGAGGTTGCATTTATCTAATTTTTTATAATATAACAGAAATGGTTTAGATGCTCAATTTTCCTACAGTAACATTTACGATAAATCAATCGTTGGCGTCTGCAGTTTCATCCATTCCAACCCAAATAGAATTATCTCCAATAATATTTTGAATTTTTGAAATAGTTTCTTCTTAAATCTCATTTACATAATTTATTCAAAGAGAAATCTTGTTCTATCGTCACCAGTATATTCTTTCATAAAATCTTTAAATAAAGAATTTTTCAATTTGAAAAGAGGGATGTCTGCACGGCACAAATCATCATTAAAAATAGACTTAATATTAGTAGTTGCAGATGATTTAGAAATAACATTTTGTTGAAATTTAAGCTTTCTGTCTCTATTGGCTTTATACTGGTATTGATTGAGTTGAATAAGTTGACCTTGTTGGTCAATAGTCGATAGATACTGATTAATTATAAAACTGACAATATAACATCCATAAATTCTAAAAGTTTCATTTGGAAACTCTTCTAAATAAAGAGCAACTTTTGATCTTTTAGTGTGAATAACTTTGGACATATTAAATAATTAACAATATTATAATATGAAATAAACTACATAAATGAACATAACACAAAAAAAAACGTGATTGAATAACCGCCATACGAACACTAATCGAAAAGCGAACACATATATTATATTAATAAGTAGATAACTAGATACTGAAATTTGTATTTACAACCTATTGCCAAGGTATTATATTGAATTGTTGTCATTTGATGTCAAGAAGTGTACAGATATAATTGTATCGCGTCGTACATCGTAAAATACTAAAATAAAAACAGAAATTCTATAATAATACAGAATACATAATATATAAATTTATCTGTAAAATATTTAATTACTCTAATACATTTAAAAATATTTAAAATAAAATTAGAACCATTTTATTTGAAATTAAATGAAATATAAACATATTATGTCGAACACTTTTCAATGTTAAAACTACAAAAAATATTTATTTAATTTAAAATCTATTCCCTACCAATGGTATTAAGGTAACCTTTGATATAAATATATAAATAAAAATGTTTATGTGTGAGCCATCTTATATAAGCCAAAAAGAATTTAAAAACAAAGCAAATAATACTACCAAGTCTAAAAAAATTTGTGTGCAAAATTTGGTACCAATGGTCTAATTGGTTTAGTAATTTCCAAGTTTATAAGCCCTATTTAAAATTTATTATTACACATAGATATAGATGATAGATCTTTATAAAACTTACTTTTATTTGATAAATTTGTTTGACTAAATGTTTCCAATTCATCATAAGCTCCAGTTTCATAATAAGAAATTTCAGGTTCTGAACTATAATATCATATGTACAACAAATTATGTTATATTATATGTTATTATATCTATAATAATATTCTTACCTATCTGAAGAATCAGAAAATTGTTCAGATTCCCCAATAGAATTTGCTTCTTTAGAACTATGAATAGAATGAGTTAAATCATAGATATGTCTTAATATAAGTTTTCCTTTGCGCCTTCCAAGATCTTTAAGGCCATAACGATCAAATTCTTTCTAAGATGACAATTTTAAATTTAAAAAAAAATTATTTATTATAAAAAATTTATGATTACAAAGTACATATTTTACTTAAATATGTAATTAAAACTATTAACTCACAAATTAAGACTAAAATATAAATTTTTAGTAATTGGATTTTATTTTTTTAATATAAATTGTAAAGCATAAATTAAGTTAATAGAAATTTAAAAGGTTTATAGCTTTTAATTAACTATTAATAATTTCCATTATTTCTTTTCAAAAATATACCATTAATAATCACTAATTTTGGGTAAAATATAGCCCATCATGATATGAGAAAGCAAGAAAACATTAAGACTTAAGAGCCATTTTGTATAGTACGAATTCAGAATGATAGAAATGTACAAATATAAATATTATACAAAGTAAATATTTGATAGGATGGTTAATGCAATAATACAGATAGCAAATTAAGTTACTAATAGTAACTTATCCGAATTCTCAAAACAAGATTAATTCACTAATATTTATATGAGATTCTCTTCCTACTCTAGAAACATGATATTTGTTTCAATTTTTTTTTTAATATTTCATGATAAAATTTGAGTACACAGGACTTCTAAATAAAAATGACAGAATAACATTTATTGATTATTTAATTTCCAGTGAAAAATCTTTTTTAATCAAGATGAAAATTAGTCTAAATTTTTCTGGACCTTTGAGATTCTACTGTATAATAAAACAATGAGAATATAATTAATCAGATAACTGGGGTATTTAAGATCAGTTGTCAGTAGTTAACACAAAACTTTTTAATAGCATTTATAGTAAAATACTTACTCTTAAATCTGGTGTTTTCATCGTACTATAATTTGGTAGAGGCGTTATTTGTTCATTAGTTCCAATAATAGATTCTGATTGAACCCTACGTAAACTTTTTGGGGTATTTATTCTACTGCCATATTTATTTGGCGTTACTGAATTAGTCATTTGATGATTTACTGCATCAATATTACTTGAAATATTTAACGGAGAAGTTTTTAAATCCATATTAATATGACTCATCATCTTTTTAGGGGGTGTTAAAACTTCAGAGTCATTTACTAAGACCATAGAATTTTTCTCTAATAAAACTGGAGAAACATTTAGTGGACTTATATTAACTGGCTCCCAATCATTATAGTCCATCCACGGATCGTCAATTATTTGTTCAAAGACTGATTCATTATTCCCATAATCTTTTTCATTTGATGTAGTGATTTCAGGTATAATTGGTAGTTTAACAGTTTCAACTTGAGAACTATAAGGCGTAAATGAAGTATGCGTGTATTGACTTGATGAACTAATTGTTGATAAATCAACAACCTCTTTCACTAGGGAATTTACATGATTATTCGAAGATATAACATTTTTCTTAGATACAATATTTTCCAATGGTTCCAAATCTGAACTAGGTTTGTTTAAAACAATTTTCTCATTAGAATATTCATTTTTAATAATATTATCATTGTTTTCTATATTATTGATTTGTGTACAGCTTGCAGTATTTAAAAATGTAGATGACATAACATTATACTGAAATAATTTCTCAGTAGGTAATAATTTTGAATCACTACATTTAGGTAAAGTTGTATAGCTTGAAAAATTTGATGAACAGAAATCTTCATTTGTTTTTGTATTTATGTTTGGATGATAATCTCCATCAATGACTGGAAATGAAAATGCTGACCATGTGTTACCTTCCTTTAATGGTGTTGCATTTGATACACAATTATTTATTTCAAATTGAGTAGGTAAACTGTTGTGAGTTGGAGAATTAATTTTTCTCAACACATTTGAAAAGGGTGTTGAAGAATTTTGTAGAGTATTATTCAATGAAAATGATGGCATTGAATTATTATTTGGCATCTTATCAATAGTAGTGATAGAATCAGAACTACTATCATATATTAAGTCTATAAAATTGTTAAAATTTGAAGATGGTATTTGAGTACTAGAACTATTTGTGAATTTTGTTACAGTGGAAACTGCGGTCTCTTCCTCATCAATTTTTATTAATGTCTTAGTTCTTGGTGTTGAAATAGTTGACTTGTTAATCGAAACATTGTCTAATTTAGAATCGCAATTTTTTTGATGTAATACATTTGTACTGATTGAATGAATTGAATCTAAACTACTATCATTTAACTCAATAACACTTATATCATTACTTTTATTAATTGAGTTGAGTGAAAAATAATTTTTCTTTTCATTAATGCTTGCTAAAAAAGGTGTACAATTATTTTCATTCAATAGATTAATATTTCTATCACGCAATGAACTATTGTTAAGAGACAAAACCATATCTATTGATTCATTGTCACTATCACTGAAGATTGTAATTATTTCTGGTTCTTTGCGTGAATTAGTAATTGTTGAAATTTTGTTTGAAGAACTTTTTAAATCAATAGGAACTTTTTTAACTTTACTCAACATTAAGATGGCTTTTACGCTTGATTCATCAGTTGATAATGATTTAGGAGATGCACTTCTAACATCTAACGATGAGCTAATTTGTACATCATTATTTTCAAAATCCATAGTATAATCAACTAGATTAGATGTAGGTGTTAATGGAATATATATAGTTGATGCACTATGAAAAGAATGAGCTGGACTTGAATTAATTTGTGATAGAACATTTATTTCTGATTTTTCTGTGAATGATGAATTATGATGTTGACTTAGGTTACAATTTTCCAACCATTGCTTTGTTTTTAACATACTCAAGGATTTTTCATCATTCACAGTTGTTCCTAAAAAATTGGAATTTATATTACTTATTTCTTCACTTGTATCATCCACCATAAACATATCTGGACTAAGAGTTTTATGTCTTTTACTTTCTATTGAACATAAATCTGAGCTTTTACGTTTTGATACTTTATTTTGCTCAACAGAAAACCATCCATGTTTTCCATCATCATCATTTATAGCTATTTGAACATTGTACCTTGTTACTAATTGCAAATAATCTTTTCTGTACTCAGGACTAATTAATTGTTCTTGACCAGAGTAAATTAGTTCTAAGAATGCCATGCATGCTTCATAAGTGTATTCAGACCACATTACCATTTTTTTTGATTTACACGTATCAGATTCTTCTGTAATTATGTCATTCAAAATATCAGGGCACTGTACATGAAACACTAGAATATGAGCAGGAATTTCATGTTCATCTTTGGAAAATATAGTTATATCACTCATAAACTGGCTACCTAACATTGACTTCCATCTAGATGAATATTCTGACATAGTTTTATTTCCAATAATGTTACGATGAGTAAAATTTTTAATATGAACTTTTGAATCATCTAAAACTGTATGTGATGTATTGATGACTTTCTGGTTAGTAGTATTTGATTCCTAAATAAAATATTAATTAATTATTAATATAATATTATAATATATACATCAATGTAGAAGAAAATAACTTATTTGTTCAACTATTAAATAACATTATTTAATAGAAAAGAATCAAACAATTAATAATATTTTTTTTTACATGTTTTTGGAATCAACAATAAATTTATATTATTTATTTTATATATTTATATTTATATTAAATAACAATCTAATACACTTAAATATTAATTACATTATAATAAGGTATAGTGATATAGGTTAGTCAGGTATCTGATCTATTTATGAAAAAAAGAGTAAACGCTTGTAATTGTAATTTAAAGTTCATACCTATTTTACAAACGATATTAGTTTATTTTAAAATATTATTGAAAATTAATAAGTTATTAAATAGTTATTTCCTAAAACAATTATTTAACATTCATTTTTTACATTAAAAATGATCATTTGAACAAATAAAATGTATAACATTTAAGAATCTTTGGAAAACTGTGTTATTTTTATAAACATCTATTAGTTTTTAACTATATGCTACTATTATTTTAGAAACAAATTATTATTTTTAGCATTATTTAAAAATTTTGTTTTGCTATTTAAAAATATGATATGATGAACGGCCACCCTTTGGTGGATATAATAAATTTTACATGGCGTTATATGATAATTAGGGCCCGGATTTCAATGTAAAATGCATATTTTTTTAGTTGATCTTACACAATGCGTTCTAAGTACAAAATCTGTTTTAAATAACAAGGGTTTCATAGCTACAAATTTTATATTGCATTTTTTTTTTTGCATATTACAGCGTTTTTTCATTTTTAGAGCATTTTTAGCATTATTGGGTCACTTTGTTGGTTTTTAATGCATATATGTTCAATATACTATACAAATTTAGCCAATTCAAAATATTATTTAAAAATAAACTATTCAATTCATTTTTTATCTTATTTTATTATTGACTGTGGAGCATCACCCGTGTCCTGTATTTGGTTAAATTACAAAGAATAAGTACAATAGGCTTAATTAGAATTTAATTTTTAATATAAACGTATTTTGGTTTGTACAGAATGAATAATATTTCTCCAGAACGGCCAAAATATATGCGAGTCAACATATATATAAAAAATAATTAAATCTTATTTATAAATTACAAATTGTATAAAAAATTATAAGTAATTTTTTCATATTTAAGGTCATTTTGTGGAAAAATGCATTTTTGGCTATTTTCTAGAGCATATTAGTATAGTTTTATTTTAAGTGCATTTAAATCTGAGCCCTAATAATAAATAAGTACTAAATTTAGTTTCATAACTAAAGACAAATACATTTTATATTTTAGATTATTTATCAGATTATTGAAAACATATTCAAGTTATTGAAGTAATTTAGGATTACAACACAAACAACTAAACTAAATAAGTATGAAGTTAAAAATTTAATTAAAGAAATTTGAAATAAATGTAATAATAATAAAATTTATGTAAATATCTTCTTTTTTTTCATCATTTCATCAAAATAAAACTTTATTTTAAGATTATATATTTATTGTTATATATATTTCATAAAAATTACTACAAATATTATGTTCTTAAAAGTTACCATTAATAATATTAAGCCAACACAACTCTCAATGTTTCGATGACAAATTTACTCATATACTAGGGATAAAATTATAAACATTTATCCTGCACTTATTTATCATTGTTTTATATAATGATATTTTATAAATTATTAATAATAATTAGATCAAACTTAAATTTTTAACTATTCAACACTTTTTAAATTTAATCCTAATTTTTTTTCAGAAACAAGTTTTGTGTAATGTTATTAATTATTTGTTATTTTGTGACAGTCAAATATAATTAAAAATAATGATACTTTCTAAATGCTAAACAAATATGTCTAAAGCATAAACTATATTATTATTTATGGTCTAGAACAGGCATGTTAAACTCAAAATATCAAGTGGGCCAAATATATTGAATAGTTTACTATGCGGGCCCATAAAAATTTAACAAAAATAAATAAATATTCTATACAAATTTTTCAATTTTATTCTTTACATTTACGAATTCAGCAGATACAACTAAATTAAAAAAGGTAAGCTTATCAGAAGATAAAATAGTATAATAATGAATACCAAATAAACCATTCTCTAAGAATCCAAGATAGCTGTGACACAGCATTAATATTTTATTATTATTATTTTATCCATTAATATTGATAGTTGTGGGCCACAAAAAAATGAGCTGAGGACCGCATATTCGACAAGAATGGTCTAAGATAATTATTTATCTTAAGTTAGTGATCACAGATTACAATTTAAATTAAAAAAAATTAAATAAATACAATATAAATCAATTACTACAATTTACATTTACTTTTTATGTGTGAAAAAATGCCATACATATAATACAAAATATTTATTGATATTGATAAGAAAATATAAATCTAATTAACATTGTGATCACTAATCAGCATATAATTAGTGCAGTAAAGCAAAAGCCAATACAATTAATAAAATTTGTATGAAAATAAAATATAATATTTAATTTACAGTTACCTGTTTTGAAGTATTTTTATGTGTTAAAAATAGAACATTATTTTGTAAGCCATTGCCTTCAATAGGGCTTAAAAACTTTGACATATTTTTCACATAAAATTCAGATACACTATTTTCTTCAAGTAATGTCTTTTTCCAGAGTTTACAATCCTATAAAAATTAAAAATATAAAATCTTTTTTTCTAATTCATTCAAATCATTGAGTATGTTAATTGTTAAACAAATTGTGGACAAAATTTAATAGATTTTATCTTTTTTATTCTATCATCACTTTTGGAACAGAAAACTTGCTTTAATCTTCAACATTTTGAGTAGTTCTGACAGAAAATTTAATCAGGTTGGTTCATTGGGAAATCATAAAAGGGAAACTGTAATTTTCTTAATTGAGAAAAACTTACAAAAATAATAATTTTTGAGATATATTTAAGTTTTTTTTGATATATTTAGATAAAATATTTGTTTCTTGGTCAAATGATTAGAGTATGTAATATGACTCCAATAATTAAAAATTGGTAGCACTTTTGAAAAATTTTGAATTACTGAGTTAAAAATTTTGTTTTTTTATTATTGTACATACATAATTATTAAATATTTCAGAATATTAGGTGGTGTTACAATTATTTATTGTTTATAAAATGTAAATTAAACTATGTATATAATTATACTATATAAACTAAATTATTATTAACAGACGATTAAGAAATAAAATGTTAAACGATAAAGTTATTATGATAATAAGAATTCTATAATTATTGAAAATAATAAGCTGAATTTCTATACGATTGTATAATAAATTATCAATGAAAGGATTATAAGAAATACATTTGGTGAATATACTTTGAATTATTTTAAAACGAATGAAACTTTGAATTGTCACGTTATACTGGTCAGTTTTCCCAAAATTCAATTTTGAATTACCAAGTGTACTTAAATAAATGGTGTTTATTTGAATTATGAAAGATTTGAATTATTAAGTCAACTGTGTAAGATTTTTTTATGAGTTATTCTTATAGCTGTTAAAAAAATTTGAAGTTACAATTTTTTTAAAAATTATGTGAAGTCAACTTTTAATAAAATTGGATGTTTAGTCATAAAATAATAATTTTGGTTATTATGTTGTACCTAATTTAAGAAATATTTCTTATAATCTTAAAAACTTTCGTCATTACGTTTATTATTATTTCCAATACACAATATTTTACTAATATTTAGGCTTTTAACCTTTTTTCTAAAAATTTAAGTAATTAATAAAGATAACCATTTCTTTGTTATTTATTTTTTTTTATTTATGCTACTTTACAATATGTTTAAATAAATTAAGTTTTAATCAAAGTTTTTAGCAACAAGAGATCAACCAATCAAAAAAAAACAATAAAATAAATATGAGATGAACTATCTTTAAAAATAAACGCTGATCAACCCATTTGGAAATGAATTCATTCACAAATTGATTCTTCATCGATTTAAATGTATCATATCCAATAGATTGGACTACTACAATAATTACACAATTGCTCTACAAAAGTTCAAAACCTTAAACACAGTAGAAACAAAGTCCCTTGCTCTTTTTTAACATACATTTTTATTTTAATAATTCTTAATTAAATATTCCACACCAATGAAGATACAAAAAATTTCAAAACTTAAAAAAATAAAAATAAGGATAATTGAAAATATAAAATAGTAAGTAGAATTATTGAATGTTCATTAATTTTAAAACTCATTTGTATTCGTATAAAATTATAATTATTTTAAATAGTTACACTTTGAAAGTAACTGTTAATCTTCAGTATTAATTTTTAAATTATTAATATCCATGGCAAATTAGATTATTTAGTATTAAACTTAACAATAATAACTTACAATATCTCGTATTTTATTTAAATATTTGGATCTTAATTGAATATTGGAGCAATCATTCAAAAATATTTTTGATGATGTGTCTGTATCACAGTCTATAAGAATCATTGCTACTTTTTCAGTAATTCTTTTCTGACGATCTTCTTGGGTTTGTTTAAATAACAAAGAATTTGTTTTATAAACTGTAAAAAAATATTTTTAAAATAAATATAAAATTTATTTATTAGTGGTTAGCTGATAACAGTTTTTTTCTCAATATTATAATATAATATTAATTATAATACAATATTATTTTATATTCAAATATTGACATAATATAATATATATAAGCTTTCAATCAACATCGAAAAATATTGAACTATAATAAATAATATTGGTATAACTTATTTGATCTATAATTATAATACAAATGTTTTTTTTACATCATTAAAGATATATCAAATCTTATTTATTGATTAAATGATAAAATAGTTAGATTAATATTTATAAAAAAAAAACTGTTGAATTATCAGTGATATTAAGCAATAATTAATTATAAAAGCTAATGTTTATTTATAAATACTAACAATTTTTAGATTTGGATTTGATTGGTTGATTTGATACAAAACCAAAGCTTTCTAGTGTTTTCCTTTTTTCTATAGCCTCGGTTTCTAAACCTGCTTCTAAAAGATTTTCAGATTCTTTAATGATTTCTGCTTCTTTAGACTCTTGTAATGACATAGACATAGCAACAGCTAAATCAAAATTAGAATCACTCCCTATCTAAAATTTAATAAAAGTAAATTTACTATTATATTTGATAAATCAAAAATATAATATACCTTTAACTTTGTTTGTTTATTACACTTCTTTTTTATTTTTGAATCACTACTTTTAGATAATTTAGGTAGCCCTAATGCTTCTCTTTCGGCTGCTTGACGCTCTTGAAGATCCACAGCTTTCATAAGTACTTCAGTTGATAAATTATGCGATGTACCACAAGTTTTTACATGGATAATGAAATGTTTGAAATCAATTGTTTGTAAACAAACTGGACATTGTTTACTTTTAGTAATAACATCAGATGTATTTTTAACTGCAGATGTCTTAAAAACATTTTGTGACATAGTTACTTTTTCATCCTGAGGACGAACAGTATGCAATACTTCTACAAAACTATCATTTTCTGATAATACACTATTATTTAGTACGTTATTACACTCAGATATTACAGCATTACTTGGTGTCAAATCTTGGGATTTACTGGAAAAAAAATAATTTATTTTACTTTAATGCATTATTTTTATTTTGGTTATTTTCCCACCATTCACTAGTATCTATATTTTTGCACATATTATGATAACTAATATCAATCTAATAATTTCTGTATCAAAAATTGTATAACAATAAATGCGAATGTGATTAAAAAAAAAAAAAATAGTATAATAAAATAAAACTAAAAATAAATAATTGTTAAACCTAAATTTTTTCATTCAGATATCATGTTATTTATTTTTCAAAACTCAAAAAATTAATATTAAGTTTATTGTAAAACATTGATACTCTAGTAAAATTGCAGCTATATACAACTTTAAACTCTAACTTTTATTCTCTTGTCGTTTTAAGTGTTCAAAATTGTATTTATAGTTAATCAATTTGATTTCAGACATTAATTCTGAATTTGTTATTCAATTACCAACATAGTATGAATATTAGTTATTAAGAACAATCCAAAAATTCTGATACATAAAATGGTAGGAATATAACCAAGAAGTGCTTTGTTTTTCATAAAAAATTAATAAATTGTTTTATTTACTTTGTAGGATCAGTAGATAATGTACTGTTGCTGTTTTGCTTTTTTAATTTTAATGTTAATTTAGATTGAGAAAATAAATTCATTTTAAAATAATTATAATAATTATACTCTAAAAAGACTAGATTAATTAAAAATAAACTAAAAAAAAAAAAAAAATACAAAATTATATCTTTATTGGCACAAATTTTTCTTTTTTCGACATAATTTCATCTTTTCTATCCTTCAAATTTTTTTTATCAGGATTGAAATTCTTTTTGATCATTTCTAATCTATAATTTTCCTCTGGTGTACGATCCCAATAACCATTTTTGATTTTTTCATTTAGTATTTTTGTAGATGGTAATTGTCTATAAAAGAAAAAAATTGATTACACATGTAATTCTTTAAAGCATATACTATAGCTACAATTGGTTTATAAAAAAAAAAAAAAAAATACAGAAACTAAATCTAAAATGAAAGTATAAATTTATAAGTTTTAATTAATTACAGAATATATTCTACTAATCTATCTTTAGTGTTTTCAGTATGAGCCTGTGATAAGTTATACACAATGATTACAATTCACAACTTAAATTACTAACAACATTTTATTACATAGCTAAGTAAATTAAATTTCAGTCTTCTTTCTTGATCTTCAGACTAACACACAACATGAATAAAGCACATTTGTATGAAATTATTTTTTATAATAATTATTAATTGAGTAATTTTAAGAGTATAATTTGAATAATTTAATCTACTACAAAAATTACAATAAATAACATTATGGAGGATTTGATACATAGTAGTTTTATATTTTATTATTATCTGACTTTATATTTAATTTCGAAAATAAAAAAATTTTTTTGTAAATTTAAAAAAGAATATTTATTTTTTAACAATATTCAGACAAACTAATATGCCATTTTTAAAAGTATTATTGTTTAGGTAAATAACTTTTTTTTCTATAACTTCTGTAATGATAGATTTTATTCAAAAACATAAAATATGATTTTGTTTGTATGTAGTTTGTCTAAATTTTGCATAGATGCAAAAGATAAAATAAACAATTCATTGACATTCTATAATAGTATAATATAATTTAATATGTACCTATGTTTGCTGACCTATACTATATAACAGCGATAACCATTATGAATAAGCTCGTGTGCCACATGGATAATGAAATATGATACCGAGAGCCAAAATGTTTATAGATACATTTTAAATAATTTAATATTTTATGCATGTACACATAAAAAATTTAAATTCTCATGAACATAATAATAATTAAATTTTAAGTTGATAAACAAGACATGAACAGCTTCTGACAATAATAAGAATCACATGTGGCTCACAGACCTCAAGTTGGCCACTCTTGCTATATAGTATACTTAATATATTATATAATGTATAAAATTAGTATGAATTATAAAATTATATTTAATAGCTTTTAATTTTTATTAAAATATTAAATGAATAATATATTTATAGTATAATCATTTATATTAATATAGACATATAGCTTATGAGGTTCTATCATTTTTACTAGTGATTTTAAGAATATCTTTTAAATTCATTGGATAACATTAACATATAAATAATTTAATACTTTAATGTAAGTATTTAATACATTTTTTATATTAGTAAAAGTATTTTTGGTTTAATTTTAATTATTTTTTCGTAATTCACTTGTTATTTTTGACAGTAAAAAAAACTTATTTAAAAAAATATAAGCTTTTAAAAACTTAAATAAGTAACTACAACACAAATGCAATTGTAATATTTTAGTTTGTTATTGTTTATTAACCCTTTGTGTTTCTTAAAAACCCACAATACACTAGTTAATTTCATAATTTGTAATAAAATTTTTAAAAACTTTAGTTTATGATTAAAAAATATTTAAAGGTTAGTTTGATTTTTTGTTAATGAATATTAAAATTTTAAATTAAGATAGAAATTAATAAAACATCTAACGTAATGTAAACTCTCAGATTCAAAATTAATTAAATATTATGTTAATATATAAAGACTCACTCAAACAGGAACCAAGAAAGTCCACTGACAGCCAATACACCAAACACATACAAATTTCGATATTTGTATGCAGTAGTACCCCTCACTTGTCTTGGTTTACCAGAATTTTTAATTTCAAAGGCCATTTAAGAAAGCGATTAAGTTGGAAATCTTCAAATAATAATAACAAAATAATATAAGATTTATATGAAAAATGAATATTTTTAAAAACAATTATAACTTGCTAATCATTTCTTTATTTTAATTTGAATTCATTAAAATTTTAATTTTAACTTTTATATTATTTAATACGTAATTAGATATATTTGCTTTTCATTATGATTAAAAATTATTATAATTTTTTTTTTTTTTTAAGATAAAATAAGAGAATAATAATTTTAATATTGTGTTGGATAAGTTGATATACTATTGAAGTAAGTATTAATTATTTAGATATATATTTTATATTAACAATATAAATATTGATAAAACAATTTTATATGATTAAGTATTAATTCGTAATTGCTTAAACCAAGTGTTATTAAAAAAAGTGTTTCAAATTTTAAGTCATATTTTGAGATTTTGAAAATATTAATCGACCTCGAATTTTTGTCTTATTTGAAATGTTGGTATCTACATTTAAAAATAATAAAAATAATAAGAAAATTGACAATGTTTTAATGTAAATCACATGGCACATAATATAAACAAAATGTACTTTCACCCCATTATGTTATTCAAACCTAATATTGGAACAATTCAAAAAATGGTAAAATGTTATTTTACATTAAATATAACAAATATATACATATGTTTAACAATGTGTGAATCTACAATATTTGAAAGAAGGTATTTGTTTTACTCACCGATACCAATGAATAAATTGTATTTTAATTCAGAAACGTACCTACTAGTGATTATAAAGTGAACCTTGATTCTTGGGAGAACGATCTTAAACCGTGCTAGTAGTTACCACTTGGTTCAAAATCTATAGTTACTATTGTGAACAGAGTCGTAGAAATAGATTTGTTTGAAATAAATAATGATTTGACATTATTATATTATTTATTAATGGTACATTGATAATATTTTAAATTATGATAATAAAAATCGAAATTCAACAAATTACTATTGTAAATTCAGTCAATTCAGACTTTCAGAGATAGGAGAATGGAGTTCGTTAGATTCTATACCATTGATAAGAAATCTAAACGAAATACCAGGTTTATAGGAAGAATATATCAATTTTCTATTCTAAAATGGAAAGCTAAATTTTTTTTAAGCTACGACTTACAATTATTTACTATTTTAATTACTTTAAAATGATAAACTTATCAAAAAAAAAAAAATTACCTGGAGTCCTCGAAAATATATTCTTTTTAAATTTTAATGTTGGTGTTGTTTTTCAGTTGTTGACTATTATCGTTGTGGTTGTCCAACAGTTAGTACCTAATACTTATGTCCTATAGAGTATACTGTATAAGTGTATAGGCTTATAATCATACTGGAACACAAAACTGTATAGTTATGATTTTTCTTTTTTTTTTTTGATAAATGTGATAATGATTTACATTATCTTTGGTAACAATATCAATTTAATCTTTCCTCTGCCCCGTGTCTACAAGTATGAAGCTACTGTCGGAAATGAAACTGAATACCAATATATATTTTCCAAATTCCAGCTTTATCTGTAAACTGTAACTACTAACTAATAACTATTACAAATTATCGATCTTCAGTTATTGAACTCTAAGTCTGAATCCAAATAAAATCGGTTTCAAATAAATAATTTTTTAAGTATTCAAGTTAAAAGATAAAAGCGTTTTAAATTTTAATTTCCAGTCTGATAATATAAAAACCAAGTTTCAACTAGACGTATTATTTTTTCTTATTTATTATTGTGCTGCCGTTAACAATTCAATCATGTCTCAGGAAACTGTTCAGATCCTCATTGACATGGGTTTCCAGAAAGAAAAAGCGTATGTTTATACATACACTCTTAAAATGAAAATTTCTTAATTTTTTTTCAACATATTATGTTACAGCGAAAAGAGTATTTTAATGACAGGAAATCAAGGTGTTGAACCTGCTATGGAATGGTAAGAATTATTAAATTTTGTATGCTGTATCAGCAATATAATGAAAAATTAAACAATTATATTTTTGATATACTACAATTTGAAAGAATTTCTATTTAAATTCAGATTCTGTTAAAAATTGTATTCTAAACTATGGATTTTTTTCTATCTTCTTATAATACTGTCTAATGCTTTTGAATGACTTCTTCCATACATACGATAATAACATATAATTTATTTGTCATTAGGTTATTGGCACACAATGACGATGGAATGGGACCATCAACTTCTCAAGAAGGTTCTGCTTTAAACATTAAGTCAGAAACAAATACCTCATCTTCATCAGTAGCTAAATCGTACAAATGTGAAGAGTAAGATAATTAATTATAATTTAATGTATTTTCATAGTTTTAACATAAGATATATCTTAATTTATAATATCTATTAATCTATTTTGTAGGATATAAAAATATCCTACAACATTTTTCATTAGGAATTTGAATTTTTTCCAATTGTTCACTAGTAAAAATTGTATACTTAATTCTCCTGTTAGTTAATCTTTAATGATTACGGCTAATAAAATTGTTTTTTTATTATTCCTAACAGTCCTTGTCTCAATTTGTATATTTCATGTTTCTATTATATGTATTATGTTAACTATTACTAGGTAAATTGTTACATTTTGTTAGCACTAAGACAATATTTAATTTATAATAGAACTAACTAATAAATGTTTGTATATATTTCAATAAATAAATAATCAATGTTGTAAATTATTATGTTTCTACTGTTTCTAGTTGTAACAAATTATTTACTGATACTACTGCATTAGAATACCATGCTATGAAATCTGGTCATAGCAATTTTGCAGAATCTACAGAAGAAAAGAAACCATTAACTGAAGATGAAAAAAAAGAACAAATGAAAAAATTGGAAGAACGCTTAAAGGAAAAGCGTAAGGAACGTGAAGCTAGAGAAAAAGAAGAAGAATTAGAAAGAGAAAAAATTCGAATTCGCTCTGGCAAAGAAATGGCTGCTGCTAAAAAAAAATAAAATTATTTGTTCAGTAATAATTTTTTGTTTTATCAATAAAAAATTATTTTATTTTATTTAGACTTGAAGATGAAAACATTAAAAAAATTATGGATGAAAGAAAACGTGAAAAACAAGAAGAAAAAATTGCTCGTGATCGTGTAAAAGCTCAAATAGAAGCAGATAAATTAGCTAGAAAAAAATTGTATGGTCAAGTTTCGACGGAAGAACAACCAAAACAAGTTTTACCAGTAGCTGTAAGACCTCAAAAACAAACAAAATATTATACAGAAACAAAATTACAGGTATATGAATTTCATGTATTAATTATTATGTACAATTTAAAATCCATTAGTGTTAAGTAATATGAAAAAAAATTTAAATAATATTTATTGTACAAGTTTTTGAGTTTCACACTAGAAAAAAAATTAAATACATTTAATTTCTATTAAACTTAAATATTATTATTGGCTAAAATTATAAATAAATCTTTTAACTGGAAAGTATGGTCAAGCTAGAGACCAAAAACAGACTTATGTACAACTGTGTTCAAACGATTTATTCAAAGTAATATTATTTTAATTTTTTATTATATTCTCTAATTAATGCAGTTTGAATGTTTTTCATTTGTAATGACTAATGAGACATTTATTTCAATTAAATTTTAATTAATTATTAATGTTTGTTTTTATTTAGATTCGTCTTACAAATGGTCAAACAATTGTCCAAACGTTTAATGTTAAAGAAATTATGGCTGCTGTAAGAGTTTATATTGAACTAAATCGTTCTGATGGTGATGCTCCTTTTTGTCTCATGACTAGCTTTCCAAGAAAAGTATTTACTAATGACGACTATGAAAAACCTCTTGATGTATTAGGTAATATTAACTTAAAAGTGTTTTTTATTTATTCCAAGACTCAAAAAAAATATGGTATATCTTTAAATTAAATTATTCTTTTAATAAAATTATAAATAAAAATGTTCTGATATGATAAATTATTTTGGTTGTATCATAATATAACTTTTTATTCTTTCTTTTTATTTTATGGTTATATGAAATTTATAAATTTATTGATTTCCTTTTTCAATGTATAATTTAAATTACTTTCATATATATTTTCTATTATTAAAGTATCATACAGACAAATACATTTTTATTTTCTCTAAAAATGTATTCATAATTTGAAATACATGTTTTATTATTGAGTTTTATAGTTACTATATAATAGTAAAAAAAAATATGTTAACTTATTTTTTAATTTCCATTGTTTATTTTTTTTTAGGTTTGGTACCAAGCGCTGTTTTAATCTTAACTAAACCACAACAATAAAATTAATAATTATTTTTGTAATATCTATCTTTTAAAATTTTTATAATAAATCGAGTTTTTTTTTTAGTCAGCACAATGAAATTGGTTGGTTAATAATTGTTTATTGTAATATACAATATGAATTAAAATATTGTTTAAAGTATATTACCATAAAGTTAAATAAAGTTTTTCATTTTTAATTGATGTTATGTGATCGGTTTTTATTTTTGTTTATATATTACTTGTATAGTTGTATATTGAATATTGATCAACTGATTCTTATGCTTAAATAAAGTATAACATATAATTAAATAAGTTTGATTATAAATATTGAATGATAAACAAAGTTTGATAATGTTTAACTTTTACTTACTATGATGATTCATACATAATAATCTGTAAAAGTAAATTATCTGTCTACATGGCCGAAGAGGGTTATGCTGGACAGAGCTCTTTACTATTTTATTTTTTATTTATGTATTTCAACTATTTTTTTTAAGTAAAATGGGGGGGAGGGGAATATAATTTAATGCTCTTATTATTTTTTCATCAAATATGGATTTAAATTGTTGTCAATTATACTGTAAATATAATTTATTGGAAAATACAATACATTTTGTAATTTTTAATTTTCTTTCCCTGGAAAGTTTCAATTGTATTATAAAATGATTGTATTAAGTGACAATTATTAATTGTAATTGTCGAATATTTAAGTGAAAATTAATCCATGTGTAATAAAATTAGGTATATACAAAATAGTATTAGTTGTAATATTAAAAAAAAAAATCTACTGATAATTGAGGGGCAACGCCCTCTGGGCGTTATTTAACACAGGTCTGTGTTAAATTATTTTGCATTTGGAGTGTAAATTTTAAACTGTTGGATTTAATTAAGGAATTGATTTTAGTATTTAAAAAATTTATCTAGCCTTTGGTTGTTAATTAATTCTATTCTAAACATTTAACATGTGTAAAACTACATAATGCCTAAGGAAGAAAATTTGTTATGCCAGGTTCAATTTCAATCTAATATTGAGTTTTAAAATTTTTTTCTATGTTTACGAATATATTATTCTGTAAAACATATTACAATTTGTACAAGCTGGTAATGTTATTAGTCAGTAGTATTGATTTAAAAAAAAATTTTAATTCAATGTTATAATATTACATTATGTATTATAAAAGAACATTGGAAATAAGTATTTTAATATTAAAACTACAATCATTTTAATGATAATTGATAATTGATTAATTTTATACAAATTTTATTAATTATCAATGAAAAACCATAAACAATATAAATTCTAGATTTATTTATTCAAACTTTGATGAACCACACGTCATATAGTCAATAGGTACTTTACTACAACTCTTGATCATAGTGAAAATTTAAAAAAATTAATTTTTTTCAAATTTATAATTTTTATTTATTATACTTATAAAATTGATATCAACAAAAATTTAGGTAGACATAATAGAAGTATAATTAATCAATAAAAGTACTAGTATCATTTTTCTCACAGAAATTTTTAAATTTGTAATGAGAAGAGCGTGGATTAAATTTCAAATGCACATATTATATACTAAAAAAAAATAATATCAAACATATTTTTTTTTCACAATTAAAAATCCAATTATCAGTTATACATACATTTATACTAGGTTTTATGGTTTATTTTATACTATTATAATACTATTATTATACATAATATAAATTAAACTAAATATAACCTCATGGTAGGTATTTCATTAGTTAATGAAAAAAAAAAAATGAATAAATAAATAAAACAATAACAACAAAAATGAATAAAAAATAAAGTGTATTAAATAAAATCTACAATTTGTATTCTTGTAAATTATTTATATTCAAGTCATCGCCATTTTCTAATAAATCTGTTGTACAAATCTTTGGAACATTAACTTTGGGCAAGTCTCTGAGCTCAGCTTTGCATTTATGAGTTTGGCTCACATCTTTTCCAATACAGCCAGCCAATATCTTTTTTAACATTTCTCGTTTACCTTTATTTACTTTGTTGTTTAATGAATCTTCACTCATTACCCATTTATCAAAACGCTCCAAAGTTTCCAAATTGATCTGGGGTAATTTTCTTAAGACTCCTAACAACTGTTCATTTTTACTACGATAAGTTTCATAAATGTTAAGGCATGTAGCTAAAAGAGGACCCATATTAGAATCATGATGACCAAACCAATGAAGACTTTCTAGGACTGCTATTAATAAGTCAGGTGCAATTGTCATAGCAGTTCTTTCATCTTCAACAGCTAAATGTCTTACAACAATTTGAGCTAAATATGTTGCTTTATAACTAGACTGACTATCACACCAGGGATGTACGACTGGTCGATTATCCCATTGAAATATTTGACATGTTTTCCAAAATTGACTTATAGTTGTATTCCATGACAAACCATTTAAAATACTTCCCACAATCAGGTGTCTTGATTGTTCATTTCGTAGTAATTTTATACCTAACTCAGATAAATCACTATTAGGAATTTCTTCCACACTTCCATGAAGGCTTGTTTTTGATTCATTAGAAGTAGTTAAACTTGATCGTATCAAATCTAGATATTCTCTAGTTAATAGCCGAATCATCATATCTTCCAATAGCTCTTCAGAATCTCCATCTTTATTATCATATTCTTCACGTTCTGGTATATTTTTCCAAGTTACACTTAGGCGTAATAACATATGAGATAAAAAGGAATTTAGAATAGGAATCAAAACAGTATCGTAATATTTACTTGAACAGTTGATGAGAAAAGGTTTAATAAAATTCTTCATAATAGCTCTGATGCGTACATGAGGTAAAGAATTGGCATCACTCATTATGGTTAATTCAAAACTTGGAGCAAAATTTTGTAGAGCGTAAAATTGGTCTCCAAGTAATAAACACGATTTCCCTAAGACATTTAAACACCCTTCATAAGCATTTAAAATTGCTAATTTAACTTTATACACCGGATCAGATTTTGGTTTTGGTCTAAAAATCTGGAATGGATCATTTTTCTCAGACACAATATTTTTTCCAAGTAAAGCTTCCCGTTCTTGAGGGAATATCTGTAAGACTGAAGTATAACTAGGATGCATCATTTTTTTCACATTATCTGAACATAAAGAGTTTAAATTTTTTATGATTAAAAACACATTTGGAAGAAGTAATAAAACATGTTCAGTAACTGGAGAAACATTTGGGATTTTAGATAAACTTGAATTTGTGTTGCTTCTAGTCATAACACATGATAATACATTAATACAATGAGATAGATGATTTCGATTTTCTAGACACGGATCCGATTCAAAATCAACTGGTGGTCTATCAAGACCTAAATATGCTATTAATCCTTCAGGAGGTCCAGATACAATACTTTGTACTTTTTGCCACATTAATTGACAAGGTTCTAAAATGTGTTTAATTAGTTGAGCTTGTTTATCAAAATCTGGCACATGATTATTTAGCACGAGAAGCGACTCTTGCAAACGTAAACATACTGCAAGATTATCACCAGTTTTACTGGTTTTTAATAGAAGTTGATCACTTAATGAACACAATTTATCAAAAACCGGTAGTAAGAGATTTGGATATTTTATACTCAGTTTTATAAACAAAGAAGCAGAGTGAAATTTTAAATCTTTGATTGGAACATACAATCGATCATCCGGATGACACTCAAGTATTAGATATTCACACATTTTATTAAGTGTAACATGAAGATATTCTGAAGGCCAAGCTGTCCAAGTTAAAAACACAAATAATGCAGATACAGATGAAAGAAGAAATGATAATATTAATGGATCTCTTGTATCAAATTTTAAACACAATTCAATTAGTTCCAAACCTCTTCTGACAATTTCAGAATCCATAGTTAAAGATAATTTACTTATGACTCCATCTAATATTAACACCATTACTTCCCATTCGAGAAACTCTGCAGAATCTTGCTCACAAATAGGAATCACTTTCATTCTTATTGACGTTTTTTCGATACACGATTTAAGTAAATTTTCTGTAACTGAAAACATAATAGTGTTTTCAATAGCAGAAGCACATCTAATTGTTTCAATAATTTCTGATCGAGTATGATAAAAAACAGAATTATAGCTTTCTTCATCTGTAAAATCAAGTAAGGTGAATGGGTCTAAGTTTTTGTAATCTATCTTAATTAATTTTTTTGATACTAACAAAAACCATTTTGGAATGTAGTTTTGTTTTAATAAAATATTCTTACTGATTTCAGTATGTTTAAATAATATACACCAGGCTTGATTAATATTAGTAATGACATTCATTGAATTATGAACCAAGCAGTCTTGTAATAAATCAACATAATATAAAAGTATCTTTTCAGATTTTTCAATGCTAAAATTATGCAATTTATTATCTTTCCAGAAAGCACATAACACAGAGCTCAACATTGACACAACTTTGGATAATGTTTTTAAAAATATATTATTTTCTTCATTTGCTTCTTGATTGATTGCCTTGTGTACAACCATATAAATCTGTTGTAAAGGTTGATCAAGCAATTGTACAACACATTCTCTTTCTTCATTTTTACATTTTCTTGAAAGTAATATGGATAAACAATCAATAGCAGGTTGCCTAAAATTAAAATCGTCTAATAAAGAGCACAATACAGTGATTATATAACAATCTTTAAAATTCACATGCGAGAGTTGAATAAATTCAAATAATTCTCCAATATTAGCTAATGCAAGTTGTATTACTCGGATAAGTGCAGTTGCTGCATTTTGTTCATTTCTACTTAAAAACTCTAGATATTGTCTACAATAATTATCAATTACATTTATAAAGAATGGGAAAATTTTACACATACTTTGTTGAAGTTCTTTACTAATATCTCGTCGCCTGGCCGCATTGTCAATAGTTTGTAATAAAATAACATCTTCAATTAACCTCAAAAATATTAGCATAACAGTTTCTGTTTGACAACAACCTAATGTTGTAGCATATTCTAATTGATTTAACATTCCAGGCCAATGCTGAGGCCATTCTCTTTTGATCATTTCTACAACAACTCTAGCAAGAGCATCTTTCAAATAGTT